GGCCCCTTTCAAGTAAGAACAAGTTACCGAACGCGGGTGCCTTTAAGCAAAAAGAAAATAAAAGGTCGAGAAAGCTGCTGCGGCCACACTTCGGGGTCTTGGGCCAAAAATGGAAACCCATACATCTAAGACGAAGCAGACTGTCGGTAGAATTCACTGCGAACACTGTTAACCAAGCCGTATTTCTTCCGGAAGCCTCCCAGCGACAAGTCTCCCCTTCTCGGACGCAAGAAGAGCCGATGGAGATCAAAAACAGAAAGAAGAAAAGCCACAACCTCTACCGACGAAGAACACAAACACTTGCTTAAGCTAAAAACCAAGAAAAACGCACGAAGGAGGTTATCAAAAGGCGTCGCAAGTGCTGAGAAGCACAAAAAAAAAAAAACCAAGGAAGGGAAAAAAAAAAAGCATAAGCTAGAGAGAGAGGCGAAAGTAACTGTCTCTCGTCTCGACACCCCCAGGCTCTGCAACCGTCCCTTAAGAGCATCTGTTTTTGCGGCACGAGTATTTTGTCCCCCGAGGGGGTGCACCGTTCCTGGAGGTACTGCAATACCAGGTCGATGCGTGGAGTGGACGGAGCAAGCTCCTATTCCAACTCCCTGCCCCAAAAATCCATTTAATATATTGTCCTCGGATAGAGGACGTATCAGATATTAAACTGATAAGAACAGATACTACACTTGATCTTAGCCAAAAGGCCGAGAAGCGATACCCGTTGCCTCCGCCTGGCCGCAGCCGCCCTCGCTCCAACCCCATTCAACCCACGGTGAGCACCCTGAACCACACTCCTTGTCTGATTCCTTTTGCGTCGTGGACAGTGCTGTCATCGGACTCCTGTGCAGACTTTTTTGTCCTCTACCTTTGTAAGGACAAGTTCTAGGTCCTTAACTGTTCCGTCATTCCCACGCCGAACAGCCATTTCTAATCTGCATGCTCCGCCTTCTGCCGCCCGAGGGGGCGCGGCTACCGCGGGCGGACTCCACCCTCCGGACCGCCTCCTCGCTCCCCGAGCCCGCACCAGACCCGGAGCCCGCCTCCCGGCCTCCTGGCCCCGTGCGCTTCCTGCCGCAGACCCCACCTAGGGGCGGCTGCCGGAAACAGCGAGGGAAGCGCTGACACGGAAGCAGCTCTCACGGATCGAGCCCCGGAAATCAAGAGCTCGCTTTTGTCGCTCATTCCCCGGCTCGCGCTGCACTCGCAACCATTGCCCCTACGCGCTGAGCTAATGCCCGACACCCGTCACGGTGACCGCGGCTCTAACGGCCAGCACCACACCCCCTCGCCCCTCCTTGCTCCGGGCCGCTCTGCTCGCGTCCGTGTCTCCCGCCGGTCTTCTGCCCGACAGTTCGGGCCCCCTGGGGCGGCGGGGTGGGGGTGGGGGTGGGGGATTCGTCCTGAGAAGGGATGTCCTGGGGGACAGTCGTTGGAATGAAACACTGCCCGTCGCGATCACTTGGCAGCTCCGTTTCTCACTGCGTGATGCGCTCCCGCGGAATTTGCTCCAATCCGGGTGCACGGACTCAAGGGTCTGCGAAGCGCGCCCGGCCCCGGGGCACGGCGCCCTGCGGAGGCCGCTCGGGTGCCCCTTGTGCCCTCAAGGCGGTGCGGGGCCGTGGCGGTCCCGGCCACCCTCGCCGCAACGGAGCCTTGAAGCCCGGGAGATCGGGGGACGGTGACTGGAAGAGCAGGGCAGGCGTTCTCCGGCAGCGCCTCGTCCCCCAGCCTCGCCAACAACCCCGCGTGGCCTCAGACTTGGGACTGCTTTTTCGGTGGAGGGTGGGGAAAGCGCGAGGGGTGGATCTCTTAGGAGCGAACGGTGCTTCAGCCTGGCTCGGATGTGCGGTTTTCTCTCCCAGGTAAATGAAGTTGAGGCTCCCCTCCTGTTTCAGAGAAGCCTTTACATTTTCTCTCTGTGAGCTTTTTAATAACCTCCCTGCCGGTGGTCTTCGACCCTCTTCCCTATTCCTGCTGGCTTTTCGGTTGGGCTTTGCTTAAGGTGATGACGATTGCATTGTTTAACGGTTCCGTTTTTATATCGTCATATTTATCCATTTTAAAAAGATATCGTTTCCATTTTGAGCCGAAAGGGCTTATGAAATAATTTCCTAAATCTTCCTCTAGGTCGTCGTCGTCGTCGTCGTCTTCTCCCTCAACATCTACATCGTCCAGCCGGGCGGTGCTTTCCCGGGGTTGGGTGGTGGTGTTCAGTCGCGCCCGACTCTTGGCGACCCCATGGACTGTAGGCCCACCAAATGCCGCCTGTAAGCCTCAACGGCATCCCATGTGCATTTTGGAGTCATAGGCCTGGACTTGCCTTTAAAATGTAGCAGAACTCACGGACCTAACCACCTTTGATACGCCGAGGCCCCGGGTCGACCTCTCCCGTCCCTGCAGACGGTGGATGGTACACCCAGTCAGACAGAGCCCGACGCTGAGAGGTGACCCTTCAAGGCCAAGTAGGAACCCCTTACACGAATAACCCTTCTCCGGAGAACGGATGCCGGTCCCGGCAGCGACGGGCGGCAATGCGGAGGGGACCGGCCCTCTGCCCGACCAGGAGGCCGAGTGAGAAGGCTCCTGCCTTTACCCCTGGGACGTGGGTTTTGCCTGACAGGACACAGCTGTGAGTGTCGGAGCTGCCCGCCTTCACCCCCGGTTCTGACAAACAAACGGTCAGACAAACACCACCCGAGACTCGACCCACCAGGGCCTGTGCTGGGTCCCAGGGCCAGACACCGCTCCTGTTCCCCGGGCTTCTCCTGCCCGGGAGCCGAATGGCCAGGACCCCGGGTGTGATGAGGAGGGGACCCTGTGTGCGCTCAGTCGCTCGGTCCCTTCGACTCTTTGCGACCCCCATGGACGGTAGCCTGCCGGGCTCCTCTGTCCATGGACTTTTCCAGGCGAGTAACTGGAGCGCGTTGCTGTTTCCTACTCCAGGGGATCCTCCCGACCCAGGGATCGAACCCCCGTCTCCTGCGTCTCCCGCCCTGGCAGGCGGATTCTTTGCCACCGCGCCACCTGGGAAGCTCTTGAGGGAACTGCTGAGAGGTTGGACGACTCGGTGCGGCTCCCACCCGGTGGGACCTCCCGGGTGGCTCGGGATCCCTACCCGGCCACACCCCGTGAGTGACAAGGTGCGAAGGACAGACAGGAAGCCAGCCCAGTCAGGAAGGCCTTCCTGACCCGGGAGACGGCCTCCAGGACAGGTTAGAGTTTCGCTGGGGGCGCTGGCGGTGCGCGGGCCGGTCACGTTGACGTGAGGGGGGAACCTGGAGGCAAGAGCCTCCGGGAGGCGCTTGGCACGAGCGTCGGCGGGAACGCGGAGGTGCAAAGCCAGGGGGCGCGCTGGGCGAAGGAGGGCCGTGGCCTGCACCCCGCCGACCCGCCGAGACGCTGCGAGGGTGTGAGCTGGGCCTCACGGCTGCTCCGGGGAACGCCTGCTGCGAGTGGGCTCTCTCTTAACACTCCTCATCCCCCAACCCCACGTCTCTCCCCTCACAGGCTCCTACCGTATCCCAGACTGGGCCGGCTGGGTTCAGCTTCGGGGGGCGGGGGGGGTGGTGGTGGCGGGACCAGCACGGCCCTGCTGTGCCCCACCTTCACCCAGGCCGGAGCCCTCCTAGCTCAGATCAAGGCGCTTCTGTGACCCCTCTGTACGGTGCCCGTGTCCGGGCGGCTCTCCACCCGAGCTTCACCGAGGAGCAAGCAGCTGGCGGTGTGTGACGGAGGGTCTGACTCTGCCTTGAGGTTCTGCCCGAGAGCTGCTAAGCCTCGCCCTTCCCTCGTCCCCTCTCACGCCGGACCCCGGCAAGCTGATGAGAAAAGCCTCACGCCGGCCGCCCTCTGCTCAGCACTATCCACTTAAAAAAGAAAAACAAAAAACAAAAAACCCACAACCTGGAAGTCGAGACTTGCGTTTTATTCGGCGGGAATATGTAGGACTTCAAGCCCCGCAGTCAGCGTCTGAAGCGACCCTGAGAGAACCGCCAGGAGGAGGTGGGCGGTGGGGGGAGGAGCCAGGTGACACCCAAGTTTTGCCACAAACAAAGGGCGGGCGGTCTGAACGTCGAGGGGTGTTTCCTGTTCTGTGAATGGAAGAAAACCAGGCATCCCGGGTTAAGGACCTTAGCGCTTTTCTATACCTGGGGAGATGCTCGAGTCTGGGCTCACGGAAATCAGTCCTTTGACACGCATCTCGGCTCTCTGGGGCCACCGTCCCTGTGGTTTTCACATCCTGGGCTTCCTCGGGGCTCACCTGGAGGCAGTGGCTGCGGTGGGATGTGCGCTAGATGTCCGCTAGATGGCTCAGTCCTGAGCGCCCGCGGGGCTCACCGGCTCACCTTCCCGTGACCGCCGCAGTTGCTGATGACTGTGACGTCCTCGTTTACTGATGCGGAGGGAAGTGTTCCACTTCTCACCGCCATCGGAACACCGACCTGGCCTCCTTTCCTGGCTCTCAGTCTGCGGCGGAGAGCCACCCCGCTCTCCCTGGGAGGCCTCATCATGGGACCTGTCAATCTCTTCGGGGGGGAATCTGGCGACGGCGAGAGCGGGGTGTGTGTGTGGGGGGGGGGGGGGGGAGGGGGAGGGGTCCTCGGTCTCCGCACGCAGGGCAAATCTGGGGGTAGGGGGATGGGAAGATGAGACCCTGAATCTATGGGGCTTGCGCTCAACGTTTTCCGGGACGGATCCACAGGCCTCCCCACCGGACTGGGTGGACTCCCGTCCGTGACACAGCCCTCGACTTCGGTGTTTCCTCACCCGCCCACTGTCCACCAGAGTGCCTATGGCGGGTTATACCCAAAACCGGTCTGGGGCCGTCCCACGCCGATTCGACCGGCCTCGGCGGGAGTGCATCGGACCCTTTCCCTGTCTCGGAGAAGTCAGTGTCAGAACACGAGGGCGTCTGAGCAGTGCTTCCGGATGCACGCCGGGCAGCGGGAGCGAAGCCCTTGACCTCAGACCGGGACTCGAACACGGCCAAGCGCAGGCTGGGACACCAATCCACGCGGCTGGGCCTCCGACCGAGCCAGAGCCCGCCGTACCTGGTTTCAAGACCCGATGAAGCTCAGGTTCTCCACGTCCTATCGCAGAAAGAATTCAGTGAGAGACAAAGTGATAGCTAAGAAGTGGATTGATTCCGAGAGAAACACACTCCATAGGCAGAGTGTGGGCCATCCCAGAGGGCGAGTGTGGCGGCCTCCAAACGTGGCGTGGTTAGCTTTCATGGGCCGGGTAATCTCATAGGCCAACGAGCTGATCAGCTGATATTCATTGGATCACCCTGAATATTCATTGGAAGGGCTGAGGCTGAAGCTGAAGCTCCAATGCTTTGGCCACCTGAGGCGAAGAGCTGACCCACTGGAAGAGTCCCTGATGCTGGGAAAGACTGAAGGCGGAAGGAGTCGGGGACCACGGAGGATGAGATGGTTCGGTGGCGGCCTCCACTCAAAGGACGTGAGTTTGAGCCAGCTCTGGGAGATGGTGAAGGACAGGGAAGCCTGGCGAGCTGCAGTCCGTGGTCCCAAAGAGTCGGGCTGACCGAGCGACTGGGCACCGACAGTGAGTGGGAGGATCATTCCAACTAGTAGGGGAAAGGGGTGGAGGTTTCCAGGAACTGGGCCACTGCCCACTTTTTGGTCTTTTGACAGTGCCTTGGAACTCTCATGGCGCCTCTGGATATGTCCTTTAGCTTGCTGCTTGAGAATCAAGGTCCGCTTGAAGTTGAGTTCTCTGCCGGCTTAGACCCCACGGACTGTAGCCCGCCAGGCTCCTCTGTCCATGGGATTCTCGAGGCAAGAATACTGGAGTGGCCAGCCATTCCCTTCTCCGGGGGATCATCCCGACCCAGGGATCGAACCCGGTCTCCTGCATTGCAGGCAGGTTCCTTTTACCATCTGAGCCACCAGGGAAGCCCATCTTAGACCCATGTGATCCTAATGAGTGTTTGTTGCGTCCTCGGGCTGTGCCATTCTTTCAAAAGCTGTGCCCTGCCCCCTTCCCTTCTGGTTCGGAAACGCCTGTGGAGCTTGGAAGTACAGCGAGACTTGGGCCCCGCCTGAGAGTCTGGTCCGATTGATCTTGGGAGACCTAGGCCTGCAGTGGCTTGGGTTCCCAGCCGGAGGTTGGGGCTGGGTCGCGGCGGTGAAAGCACCGGGCCCTAGCCACTAGACCCGTGGTCAGTGACAAGGACCCTGGCCCTTCGGCTCTGCGGAAAGGAATTCCCACGGAGACGGGAAGTGGTGAAGCTAGTGGGGCATTTATCGAGAGGAAAAGAGTACGCTATGTGTGGATAGGCACGCGGGCAGACGCAGAGGGAGAGTCCCCGAGTCGCGCCCTTGTAGTGGCCTGAATTACTTTTTTAGTTTACTTTTTAGATCTTTCGGCCACAAGGCGTGTGGGAATCGTAGCTCCCCCACCAGGGATGAAACCCTCACCCTCTGTGCTGGAAGGCAAAGTCGTCACCACTGGACCACCAGGGAAGCCCCTTGAATTGCTTTTATGAGGCATTTCTCCAGGTTTCCTTTGGCCGGTCATTTGGATCTGCCTGGTTCACAGGCCATATCTGGTATATCTCAGGGTCCTTCCACAGGTGTGCATGCCTCTCTTAGCCAAGGTGGATTCTACCCAAGAGGCTTGTGGGTAGCCTGGTGTTTGTTCGCATCACTCCCCTTTGACCTCCGAGGAGCCGTTCTGTGCCTGTGTGGTCAGGGAGGTGTCCCGACTTCCAGAAAGAGAAATGTGTGGTCTGGGCGGGGCCCAGCGCACTGGCCCTCATTGCCCTGCCCTTCTCCTCTTGGAGCTTTTGGTCAGCAGAGAACACATCTGACCCAACTGCTTTCCCCGGGGGTGGGGGTGGGGAGCGGCAGGTACCTCCTGCCTCACCACGGCCGGACGGTGGTGCCTGGTGCCCGGGACCCAAGTACGACTGCAGTGAGAGCCCTGGACACCACCCCACCACCACCCCACACCCCCGCCCACAGTAGTTCTAGAAGGGAAAACTTTCCTTCCCTGTGAGGAAAGACCTTTGCGGGGTAGGATGTCACTGGCCTGTCATTTGTTTGGTCGGGCCCAGCCAGTCTTAGGGCTACCTGTAGGAACCTGACTTCAATCGCCTACATCGGAGGGGGTGTCCAAGCTATTCTCTTACGTGGCCACACTGGGTGGTATTTCTGCCAGAGGATGGCCACCGTCCAACTAACCGTCGGCTGGGGCAACATGAGGGGTGGAGGGCGAGTGAGTGAACCAGACATATCTAGGAAACCGTCCAGGGTAGAACCAATTCTGACTCCGTGTTGGATCTGTTCCTTGGACTTCAACCTTGGGTTTCTGTTGCCTTTGTTATTATCATCATACACAATGGCCTGCCCCCAGAGAACCCTGCCTCTCTGCCCGTCTGTTAAAGTGTCTTTGGTCGGCTCCCAGGAGGGCTGATCTGACCCTACCCACCTGTGTGCACGACTCCAAGAAAGATGAGATCTGCATATCCCCTCCCCAAGGCTGGCCATTCCAAGAGATGTTTTTGCAGGACTGATGGCCCCTTTTAGTTTATTCCTCACCACCTCTCCCTCTCTCCTCGGCCTTTTTGGTACGTTGCTTCCTCACCGCTTCCCTCTCTCTGGTTCCATGAAAGAACCTGGCCTCTAGACCCCAATAGGATGGTTATTTTGAGGCATGAGTCTGCCATCCTCTCTGGGACTAATTAGAGTCTGTACCAGAAACAAACGGCGGCAGATATATGGGAGATTTGGCAGATGACCGAGTTTCAGGAGATGTGGAGGCGCTTGGGAGACAGAAGAGATGGGGGCGAGGCACGAGAGAGGAGGATGGAGCCTGATGAGACTCACCCTCATAGGTTCAGACCTGAGTGTCGGGGCTTCCAAAATCTCTGTTGGCTGCTAGTTTAGCACAGCGCCTTCTGTACAAAGCACACGGGAGAAGACCAAAAGTTCAGACAGGAGCGACTCAGTCCTCTGGCACAATAGAAAAGACCGTTCCAGAAACCAGTCCGCAGATAAGAACAACAACAACAACACGGGGCGGGTGTGGGGGGATCTTCCAAACAAAACCTAAAGGTTAAAGAATCAAAAGATTGACTCCTTAGAAAAGACCCTGATGCTGGGAAAGACT